AAAATTTTTTTAAATATTTATTTTTTAGTTTTCGATGGACACAACATCTTTGTTTGTATGTGGTGCTGAGGATCGAACCCAGGCCGCACGCATGCCAGATGAGCGCGCTACCTCTTGAGCCACATCCCCAGCCTAGGGCTGGAGATCTTCATAAGATCTTCGTAAGACTGCAGGTCTAGGCCTGTGTGGCATGAGGGATGGAAGGATGACTGTGGCAAATATGGAGCCCATTTCCCCATAACTTGAAGGAAGGACAACTGGACCACACAGCTTGGCTAGGATGTAAGTGGGGAAGGCTGTCATTCCAGCTGTGTCCCACCTTCCCTATTTCAGGAATAACCAATGGAAGGAAAACCAGACAGAAGCCAGCCTTCTACCAGCCTCAAGGACTTACCCCCACTTCTCTCTCTTGAGAGTCTTTGACCAGTTCCCGCCCCCCAATTCTGCTTCAAGACAAGCTCACAGAAAGAATCACATAAAGGTCCATTTTAATGATATTTGGGTCATCAAAGATCTGCCCCTCTGAAGGGCAATGGTGAGGGCACTGAGGAAGGAAAGCTTCATATGAGGTCTCAATCAGCAACAAGGCTGTGGCCTGCAGTAGGAAGTGGCCCAGAGTATTCCTGAAAGAGAAGAAACAGGGATTAACCTGGAGTGTTAGTCCCTCTCACATGTCCTCCTTTTCCAAATGCTTCAATAAAGTAGGATTTAAGTAATTCTTTTTTGCAATGACTCAGCCCAGCAAGTGACAGCTTGATCCTTGGCTCCCACATATAGTTCCTCTTCCTGCTGTGATTCTCCCTCAGGTTGGGGGCTGGAGAAGAATGGCAGCACTTTGTTTGCATTCTTGAAAGTACCACGGCAACCAATTCCCCACAGGTAGGTCCTTGTCACTTATCTCTGATTATGTTGCCCCGGCAACCAATCCAGGTTTAAGAAGCCCAGCTGCCACTTTATGGGAGTAGAAGCCGGTTTCCTGGGAGAACATGAAGGGCTGAAATGCAGGTGGCCTCTAGATGAAGGGTGTGGCCAGTGGAGGGACCACCCAAGTCCAAGCTACCTCCATCTCCCTGGACCAGGTCAGCTGGCCTCTCCATTTTCATTCTTACTCTTCTCAACACTGATTCTCCAACATCACTAGAGTGGCCTTTTAAAATCATATGTAATGTTACAATATTCCTCTCCTTAAAATACCCTAGTTAACCTCCTATTGTACTTAGAATAATATCCAAACCTTTCACTGTGATTCGTGAGGCCTCAAGTGATCAGTCCTGGGCCTTCTTCTCCAACTTCATCTTATGATAGTGACTTTTCTGTCTGTTCCTCTGATATACCTTAGTATTCTAGTCTTAGGGCACTTGTGGTTGCAATGATTTCTGCCTGGGATGTCTCTCCTTTATATCTTCTTCTGGATTTCACCTTCTGATAGTTTAAGTCTTAGTCCAAATAAAGCACTATGGAGGCATCTGATGTTTGGAACAGCCCCACCCCTGCTACAGTCCTTGAGAGGAAGAGCAGGACCTATGTAGGGGAAAGAACTGGAAATCATGAGACCTGGGTCCAGTCCTGGCCCTGCCATGAACATTTTGCAATCTTGACTAAGTCTCGTAACCATCCTGGGCCCCAATTTCTCATCTATAAATATAGGTGGGAATATTAGATGGGTGGTTTCCAGTATAGATTCTGAAGAGTTCAAAGATCCCAAGGATCTTTGACAAGGAGATATCTCCGAACCTTACTCAGGTGACTTGCCCAGGCCACAGAGTAGAGCAAGGCAGGGACTAAATATGAGGCCTCAGGGTTGTGTTTCCCACTTATCCAAAGGAACTTTGCTATCACTTGATGAATACAAAGGAGTATATGGTAAAAGGAGGACCTTCTTATCTAATTTTGAGTACTCTGAAGATTTCAATGCCTATTGTAAATTCAATGGCCAAGTGAGTTATGGTGGCTTACACCTATAATTCCGGCTGAGGCAGGAGGATTGTTAAGTCAAGACCTCAACAACTTAGTGAGACTGTCAACAACTTAGCAAGACACTGTCTTGAAACTTAAAAAAAGTAAAAAAGGACTGGGGATGTTGCTCAGTGGTAAAACACCTCTGGGCTCAATCCCTAGTACCACCACTACCACCACCACCACCACCAACAACAACAACAACAAACTCAATGGTGATGCATGGTCTTGTAGTTCATCTCCTTAGAAGTTCTCAGCACCTGCACCATGTCCCATTCCTCACCTCTCATATGGATGCCTTATAAGTAGTCTTTGAGAGATACAGGAAAGCAGAACTACCCTTTGTCAGGGAAAGGAAAAAAAATTTTTTCTTCACTTAGTTGTTATCACCCCAATACCCATTTTCTCTTTCATACCTGCCATTCTTATTTAAACAAGTCCTTGATGATTCCAACTTCCTTAGAAACAATGAGTCCCTCACCTTGATGGGATTGGTCACCTCTTGTTTTAGGGCCTTTGGAACCACTTTGGAGGTAACGCACTGATCTCTGTTCAACTTGGACACTGGGCTCTATAGGCAAGAAGGCAGGAGTCAGAAAGGAGGCAGAAAAGGATTAGAGGATCCCAGAGGGAAAGTGATGGGTTCAAAGTCAGGGAGTCATAATTCCTGGGAAGATGCATGAATCTCACCTTGGGAAATAAGAGTTGAAGCTTTTCCTCTTGCTTGCCCCTAGAAGACACAAGAATGACAGTGGGCCGAGGCTTGCTAACCCACCAACCCCCCTTTTCAGGTATAGCTAAGTATCATGGGATTATTCCCTGATGGTCCCCAAAAGGACTTCTGAAGCAGCCACCCATAGTACTCCTGGTAGCTCCTACTCACCATTTTAGGACTGTTCCTTCCCTGCTCTGTGTCTGCCAGATAGCAAGGGCCAACCACAGGCCTCACATACCTCATTGCAGTGGTTTTAGTGGGGAAAACTGCCTTTCCATCCTTCATGCATGCATCTTGGGGGTGAAGCAGGCTGATGTGCTTCATCTTTTGGATCATCACATCCTGGGTGGTGTCTTCCTTCCAAAACAGACCTGCAGGGTGAAAGGATGGAGTGAGTTGCCACTTGGAACACTGACAGGGATCATGGAGAGGTTTCCCTCAAGTATACATGGGATCACATTGTGTGGAGAAAATTAAATAAGACGTGTATAAAAGATGCTTAGCTTAATGCCTGGCATGTAATATTCAATTAAAATTCTGATTAGTTTCTTTGCTGACTCATTTGATGCTACCGTGAGGATTTAATGAAATTAGGAATGTAAAGAGTATTTAGAAAACTCAGAGGCAGTAATTCTCAAGCTTTAGGATGCATCAAAGTATCTTTCAAGGCTTATTAAAACTCAGATTCCTGTTCTCAAAATTCAGAGTTTCTGATTCAGTAGGTCTGGGATGGAAATCAAGAATTAATATTTCTGACGAGTTCCCTATTGATGCTGGTGTTGCTGGTCTGGGATGCACTTTGAGAACCACTGCTCTGAGACATGATAAGCACAGTAGGCATTAGCAGTAGTGATATGAACTTAAGGCAGATTTTCTATCTGACTTTCCCCTCCCCCATTCACAAAATTCTGCTCTAAGGAAGGGTCAGCATCTATCTCCAGTGGACTCCCTTTTATCCCTCTCTTCTATTTGTCAGATACTTTTCCCTGCTTCCTACACAGAGGCTGAGGTATGTGCATGTGCTTCTGGCTGAGTTCTGGCTCAGGAAAAACTCAGATAGTGCCAGGGAGTTGAGTCCCCAGGAATTTGATTAAGGCCTCTCTCAGGAGTTTCTTCTAGAAGCATCTGCAAGGCTATTCCAGAGTGTTCAAGTGCAAGTAGCTCATCCATCTAGATCCATCTCCACTCCAGTTTCAAGTAGAGACATTTGACAAAGAGAAACTGTCCCCAGGTCAGATAGCTCCTCAATGCTTGCCCCATATCTGATCAGGCCCCAACCTCGGCTCTTTGGCTTATACTTACCTTGAGGTACAATTTGGTGGAGTATGACTTGTAACTGCCGGAAGACTGAAGCAGTAAATCCTTGGACGGGCCAGGGCTGTTCTGCTCCTACTTGGCTCTTACAATCTAAGGGCAAAATAGTGGAATCAGCAAGCAGCTTGCCCCGAATCCCAGTGGAAGAGACGCAGTTAGCTTCTCTTCCCCCGCATTCCTGAACCAGGCCCTTTCCCCTCTTCAGGTCCTCTTTTTTCCAGTTCCCCTTCCCCCCATCACCACCTGCCCTGTTCTTCAGTCCCTGGGCCTCATTCACCCTTGGTGTAACTTCCAGATAGGAACCAAGCTTATAGGCAAAGAGCAGCCTGTGGATGTTCAGGTGAGGAGAGGCTCAGAAAGCTACCTCCTAGGATGGATAATCGATGGATGGTGTAGTACTGGAAGAAGGTGAGCTCCCTCTTGGAGAATCTTTAGAAGGGTTAAGGGGAAGACTTGGAATTTTTAGAGAAAGTATCATCACCTCAGAATCTTCAGGAAATTGGATCCAGGACCACCACCCCCACAACAAAATCCACAGATGTTCATGTCCCTTATAGAAAATGGCTTAGTATTTGCATATTACCTATGAACACTCTCCTGTATATTTTAAATCATCTCAATTACTTATAATATTAAGCAAAATGTAAATCGTTGTTTACTGTATTGTTTAGGGACTAACAAGAAAAAAACCTGTACATGTTCAGTACAGACACATTTTTTCCAAATATTTTTGACTCACAATTGGTTGAATTAGAAGATACAGCACTCCCTCAAGTAGGACACGCAGACCCGGAGGGCCATCTGTATGGATATGTATAGGAATTGAGAGTATGGATACTTCTACTGAAAGCTAGAACTGTGCATAAGGGAAAGGGAGGTTTGAAGAAATACAGTCCCTAATGCCAAACACACCTTTCTTATTACAGATAGATGGGATAGGAAGTCCACTGAGGGCGGGTGTACTGGGGATTGAACCCAGGGGCGCTTTACCGTTGAGCTATACCCACAGCCTGTCTGTCTGTCTGTCTATCTATCTATTTATTTTAAGATAGGGTCTCGTTCAGTTGCAGAAGCTGGCCTCAAGTTTCTGATCCTCTGCCTCAGCCTCCTGAGTCCCCGGTAATTTCAGGCCTGCCCTACTGCGTCCGAACTTTTTTTCTTTATTTTTAAAACAAATCTATCATGGAATTATCATGAATCTTTCTAGGCATGTCTTAGAAAAGGGAATTCTTCCTCTTCATATGGAGCCCTAATAACAATTTCCTGGCCTCAGGAAGGAGTGAAACCTCCAGAACTCCATGGTGAAGCAAAAGAGCTTCAGGAAACGGAGATGATTCTCTGAGATCCTGGAGCGGTGACAGGAAACGCCCCGCTGAGACCCTGCGAGCGCCTGGCGCTGCCCGTGGTGCTGGAGGGTCGGTGAAGCCTGACGTGGAGGCGGAGCTGGGCTTGGCGGTCCTTCCCCAGCACCCTTCATCACATCCGCCACCAGGCCTCCTCCCACAGCTCTTTGGGAGTCTTGTGCGTAGATCTCTAAACCCAAGATCGGGCCGGAAGAGTGGGCGCCAAACTAGGAGTCTGCTGCTCTCTCCTCCACGTGGTCTGGGCATTCTCCGCAGTCCCTCTCCAACCGCGTGAGTCAGCGCTGCGGCTCCCGCGATGGCGCAGAGCAGAGTGGGAGGAAGAAGGATGTTCTCCTTCCCCTCCCTCCTGATTTACCCGTCGTCACCCTTCCCTCTTTGGAAATCGGATCACAGTCACTAGACTGTGGTCCTACGCTGAGCCTTGGTCCGTCTCTCGACGTAGCCTTCTCTCTGGAGCCAGGACCCCATACCCGAAGACCAGCCCTCCTGGTCCCTTGCCAACACCTAACCCAGGCCATCTCTTCCCCGGCCCCTCAGCAAGTCTGGCTTCTCCTGTAGCCGCCTTTTCACCCATTTGTCTTCCTGACCTCCTCCCGAATTCCCAGTCTTCCCTTGAGCCCGCTCCCCTTGGGTCCAAGACACCACAGACATCCCAAGTCCACCTCTTTCTGCGATGCTCTCTCTATACATTCCTCTCTTCTCATGGGCCCGAACACATTATTTTCCTCCTGATTTTCCTCGCCTTGAGGCCTCCTGACCCTCTTCTCAGAATTGCTCTGGCCCTGCCCGCACCCCCCCCCCCAGGTCTCCTCCTGACCGTGGCCACTAATGTCGCTGCAGCCCCCTGGACAGCTGTTCAACAGCAAGAAGCAGACGAGCAGGTGGAGCCCCCCGGGTCCCCCAGGCAACAGCCGGCGCTGCATCCTCTCGGGATCTACGCGCTCACTCCCCCGCTCTAAGTCCTAGTGAAAGTGGAGACAGCCGGCAGAGGGACTGTGCGGGGCTGTCTGTCGCTTTCCACCGGTTAGAGACGCGGGATCTGCGTAGCCCTCCTGTGCAACTCGGCCAATCGCTAGCGGGCCCTGCCCTGGAAGACGCCTACCCAATTTCTCCTTCCCCTTATCACCTCCCTCCACCGCGCACCTTCTGGAATTTCCAGTTCCGTTCCTTTTTATAATTTTTAAAAATTATTTTAAAAAGTTGTAGATGGACAAAATACCTTTATTTGCTTATGTTTTATGCGGTGCTGAGGATGGAACCCCCTGCCTCACACTAGCTAGGCAAGCGCTCTACCATGGAGCTACAACCCAGCTCCCCTATCCACCCCACTCTTTTTTTTTTTTTTTTTTTTTTAACAGAAACTGGGTCTCAAGGACCACCACCTTTATTTCCAGTGCACCAGTCCAAAGTTAGAGAAAATAATCGCATGTAAGATGTAGGTGGGAAATTGTGCCTACCTCATGCGTGTGTTGTGAGTCATAAATATGAACTGAGACGGAACAGTAGATCCTCAATGAATTCAGTATATTTTTGTTATCCTTGACCGTTATTTTATCCTCAACCATCTGAAAACCTTTAGCAATCATATGGTTCTGACCTGCAAAATATATTGCACATCCATCCACTTTTTTCCACATCTTTTGCCATCTCTCTAGTCCAAACCACTGTACTATTTTATAGAGGTCTTGCAATAACTAACTGGCTAACTGACCACTTGCTTCCAATGTGTATTTGTATGATAGGTGTGAGCTTTCTAAACCCTGGACTGGCATTTCAATATAATTTTTTTGTTGTACTCTGGACGTTTTAGGTTGACATTGTTAACGCTCTGAGTTACATTATCTATCTTTAAAAAGGGTTGTTTGTTCTGGAAGAAAAATAATTTTTTTTTTTGTAGAAAGCCTTGATCCTACAGCTGGTCAGAACAGGAGTATTTCAGTTCTGCTTTTAATCCTCAGCCATATCCTTCAGTCTTGGGATATGGTAATTTCACCTTAGGTGTGGTCCTTTCAGAATTCTACAGGAAACCCCAAGGTGTTTACCAATGCCCTCTAATTTTATGGGTTCTGAACTCCAGACTTGGTCTCCCTAATACTGTGGCAGCTGACAAAAATCCCTGTTCAGCTATCTGGCTTTCATATTAGATTCTTTGAAATCTCACCCTGTACCTGTGCCATTTAGAAGATTGATAAGGATTTGAGGAGAATTTGTAAGTAAATTTTGGAATCCCTCTCTGTAGATCAGTCATTTTCCCAAATTTTGACCTCAGTTTCCAGGTGCTGTGACATTTTTGTACACCCAACTCTACTTCTCAGCCAGTAAAATGTCCCTCCTGTAGTACACTTTCTCTGTGTACTACAGTATGAACTGTGAAGTATCTTTAGAGGGAAATCCTGTCAAATATGGGCTTCACCTGGTGAGGCTTCCCTTTTTCAAGGATTATAGACCCTCTCATTTTTCTTGCTTTTGGTTGGTCTCCATGCTTACATACAGTTATTTTTATTTTTATATTTGGTCTGGAGTATATATTCAATGTTAATAGGAGGATCTGACACAGCTGTTTTGCCCTGCCACAAACTGGAAATTTATCTGGTTATCAGTGATTGTGTGCTAGACATATTATTTTTATTTTTTATTAGAGCATTATAGTTATACATAGTAGCTGGGTTCATTTTGGCAAAATCACACCTACATGAAATTTGATTTCTATCCTCATTCTCCCCACTTTCCTTCACCTCCTCCATCCCTATATATTTTTAAAATTTTTAAATTTCTTCTTTTTTTTTCTACATGACAGTAGAAATATTTTAACTTATTGTACGTGATGTGGCGTTGCATAGTCATGTACGCATATATGAAAGTAGGAAAGTTATGTCCGATTCATTTTACAGTTCCCTCTTCATATTCTCCTTCCTCTACAGATCCTCCTTTCACTTGTTTATTGATTGATTTTTAAAAAATAACTTTTTATTCTATTTATTTATTTTTTATGTGGTGCTGAGGATCTAACCCAGTGCCTCACACATGCTAGGCAAGTGTTCTACCACTGAGCCCTAGTCCCAGCCCTATTCATTGATTTTCGATAGGTACTTTCTATATACATAAAGGGGAAATTCCCTTTAGCACATTTTTATATGTACAAAATGTGATTTGTTAAATTCATTCCATATTTCTTCCCTTTCCAGTCCTTTCTTCCTCACTCTTGATCTATTTCTTCTACTCCACCTACCTTCCTTATATACTTATTATATTCAATTCCTCAACACCCTGTTTTCTTTCCCTTCTTTTGTTCTAGCTTCCACATATGAGAGAAAATAGTCAATCCTTGACTTTCTTTTTTATTTTTCTTTTCTTTTTGGTACTAGGCATTGAACCCAGTGGCACTTAGCCACTAAGCCATATCCCCAGCCTATTTTATTTATTGAGACAGAGTCTCCCTAAATTGATTGCACAGGTCCTTGCCAAGTTGCTGAGGCTGGCTTTGCATTTGCAATCCTCCTGCCTCAGCTTCCTGAGTCACTGGGATTATAGTCTCAACTGCAACTCAATCAACCCTTGATTTTCTGAGTCTGGTTTCTTTCACTTACCATTATGGTCTCCATTTCCATCCATTTACCAGAAAATGCCATTATTTCATTCTTCTTTATGGCTGAGTAAAACTCCATTGTGTATATATACCACATTTTTTTGATCCATTCATCTATTGATTGACAGCTGGGCTGATTCCATAATTTGGCTATTGTGAATTGTGCTACTATAAACATCAAAGTGGCTATATCACTAAGGTATGCTGATTTTATTTTTATTTTTTTGATAAATACCAAGGAGTGGGGTAGCTGGGCCATATGGGGGTTCCATTTCTAGTTTTTTTTTTGAGGCATCTCCATACTGCCTTCCAGAGTGGCTTACTAATTTGCAGTCCCACTAACAATGGATGGCTGTTCATTTTACTCCACAGCCTTGCCAAAATTTATTATTCTTTGTGTTCTTGATAATTGCCATTCTGACCAGAGTGAGATGAAATGTTAGTGTTTTGATCTGTATTTCCTGATTGTTAGAGATGGACACATTATTTCTAATTAGTTTATGGAAAAATTTGAGGCCGAGGAGCAAGTGAGTATGAACCTGCTTTGAAAAGTATAAAGCTCCTGTTGGCCTTCAGGTGGGATAAGCACAGTAGGTATGTTCTTCTCTCTCTTCTAAGCTTTCAGTCTGCCAGAAGAATACCTATCAAAATATGTGCATAAGCATTGACACTGCACTTCACTTTTGCCATTTATTGCATGGGGACTCCAGTGCTGAGGGCAATACCCTCAGAAGACAAGGAGGTTCTATTGAACTTGGGGTCCACAGGGAGGAAATTTCTTCCCACAGGATAAAAGACCCCCATGGGAAGATGTGTGGGATGACATCAGTCTGGCAATCATAAGATAGTTTATGGTGCTCTGCCTGTTCTCAGGATCCTTAGGTTGATACTGTCTCATTATCTTATCAATAGACAACATTTGGAATGGAACCTATATTATAGGTGTCTTAAAATTGTGCATCTCCCTTTGCTTAACTTACTAAAGAATACATGTATTAGTACATTGCACAAGGTTATTTCCATAAGTGAGCAAATTTACAGAATTTCAAGATTTTTGAGTGAAGATTTGCAGATTTCCTAGAAATTTAGGAATTACAATCTGGGGAAAAGCTAGCATAGCGCTTTACCACTGAGCTACAGCCCCAGCCGCTTAGATTCCATTTGTACCAAGGAAATGTGCTATTCCTTTCCCCCTCCTCAAATGTCCCCTCTGTATCTGTACTGGCCTTACATATTTTACTTCAGAGGCTCTGGCTGAGGCCCACTCTTTTGCTTCCAGATAGGTTCAAAGAGTTTCCAGGAAAAATCCAATAGCAGTTTTTCCTAGAATGGTCCCCTGAGGGATAGTGCAAAGACAGGGAGGCCTTGATCTGTTAGTTTTACTTAGAGGAAAGAGCTCAGAGAAGCTCTAACATGAAAGGAAAATGATGTTTGGAATTTGTGTGTTTATATGCCGGGTTTCCCCCTCCACAGTATAGAGCAGGCTGTAACTGTGGTCTTGGTTAGGGCAGATCTTGAGGCACAGGGACTCAGCAATTACCTGACAGCTGGCCTCCCCTTGGCTCCCAAGTCCTGATTCCCCTGCCCCACCCCCCACACCAACAGCCCCAATTCCCAATTTTCCATTAGGTATAGAGCTAGTCGAGGACCCTGAGCCTGGAGAAGAATGGCAGATTCTTGTTTTCATGCTTAGTAGCACCATGGTAACCAGTTTTCATTGTGGGAATCAGTCATTTAATGCTAATGATGTCACCCCTACTGCCAATTCAGGCAGAAGAAGCACAGCTGCCATGGTGACAGGATTCAGAAGCAGGTGTTTTTTTTTGTTGTTGTTGTTTGTTTGTTTAACATATGAGATTCTAGAGTCCCCTGAGGCTCAGGCTGCTCTGGCACAGCGCATGGCCCACTGGAGGTGCTCAGCTGGACTGCTGTTGCCTAGTTCAAGCCATCTCAGTGTTCCTTACTCAAATACAATTCTTCCTAACAAGTCTAGCCATTCCATTCTCATCCATATCATATGTTCTCCAACACTGTTATGGTAGCTTTTAAAATTATATGAGATATTCTATTCCCTTCCGTAAAATCCCCAGTGATTTTCTTCTGCACTTTGCATAAGCTCTAGACCCTTTACTATTATCTGGAAAGCCCTGTATGGTCAGTTTTGAGATTATTTCTCCAATCCTATTGCCTATCACTGGATATTCTTTTTGATCCTTTAACGTGCCCATTTGAGAACTAAAAAAATACAGCAACTAAAATAAAAGATCAATGGATGGAGGCTGGGTTTATAGCTCAGCAGTAGAGCACTTGTCTCCCATATGTGAGGCACTGGGTTCCATCCTCAGACCCGCATAAAAATAAATAAAATAAAGGTATTTTTTTTTAAAAAAGTCAGTGAATGAGCTCAAAAACAGAATTGGAACAATAGAAAAGTCAATTCACTTGGTGGCGATGGATCAA